TGTAGGAGGTTTGGGTGAAGGCAGGGGCGTTGTCGTTGATGTCGGACACCTGCACTGTTATGGTGTGCTGGGTTGTGAGCCTGGGTGTGCCCATGTCCGAGACAGTGATGGTGATATTGAACTCAGCTCTGCTCTCTCTGTCCAGTGCTTTTTCAGAAAGTAGAGTGAAAAAGTTCTTGAAGGTGGTTTTCAGAATAAATGGAAGGTCGTCCTGAATAGAGCAAATGACCCTTCCATTGTCTCCAGAATCTTGATCTCGGACACTGAACAGAGCGACCAGGGTCTCTGAAGCATTCTCTGGAATAGTCTTTGTAATTGATGATATGATCACTTCTGGTGCATTGTCATTTATATCTAATACTTTAACTGAAAGAGTGCATTTTGCTGAAAGACCTCCACCATCTGTTGCTTGAATATTTACAGAATAGGATTGTATTACTTCAAAATCCAGTAGTGATCTCAAATTGACTTTCCCAGATGTTGGGTTGATTTCAAAGGTTTTTCTAATATCTTCTGTTGTATGCAAAAATGAATATGTTATTTTCCCATAATTCTCCATATCTAAATCTTTAGCAGAGATGATAATAATACTGGAGCCAATGGGTGTGTCCTCTGGGACCTGCACCTCATAGAGACTCTGAGCAAACTCGGGAGCGTTATCATTGATGTCCAAGACTTTTATGACAATCAGCGTTGTCCCAGACCTGGGTGGAGACCCACCATCCAGTGCTGTAAGTGTCAATCTAAGCTCAGATTCCTCCTCATGATCTAAAGCTTTATCCAGTACCAGCTCTGGATATATCTTTCCATCACCACTGTCATGAACTTTAACATAGAAATGAGAACTGGGGCTAATGCTGTAGTCCTGGAGACTGTTGCTTCCTATGTCCAGATCCTGCACATTCTCAATTAAGAATGTGGCTCCGATAGTAGCACTTTCTGGTATTTTAATAGTTATTTCCTTGTCTAGGAATGCAGGGGAATGATCATTTATATCTCTGATGTGCAGCTCAGCTCGATAGAACTGTAAAGGGTTTTCCAGTACCACTTGAAAGGGCAGCACACAGGGCTGGGTGGAGCCACACAGCTCTTCACGGTCCAGTCGTTCATTCAGGAGCATATCTCCGGTCAGCAAATTAAGGAGTAAATGCTTCTTATTATCATCTGACACTACCCTGGCCTCCCTGGAGGATAGCTCCGCAACCCCCAGCCCTAAATCCCTTGCCAGATTAGCCACAAAAGAGCCAATTTCTGTTTCCTCTGCTACAGAATAGCGCAATGATTCAGTACTCGCCTGAGACAATCCCAGCAAAACAAAGAAAACCAAGACTTGCCTTTTCTGCAGGATGAGAGCCCTTCTGGTTCCCATGGTTCCTTCAGGTGACTTCTTTTACTCCAAAATTTAAATCCAGTCCCAAATTTGAGAGATAAAGGCCGGTTATTGCTATTGAAAATCCCTTGGCAGCTCTGTCCGTGAAGCTCCTGTAATACCTCCCTTCTCATTGAATTGGCTGTTCTCTGGTCCTTTGGATAGTGGAACCCACAGGGCTGGCTAGGCACTGTTTCATCTTATCCTATAGCGCCACCATGTGTCTGTGAATTTTTTTCATTTAATATTTTTCTCTTAAAATTGTATGTCTATCTAGAATTTTCAAAAGCAAATTTCACATAGATTATATTTATGCCTTAAATATTCTGCTGTCATTTATAATTAGCAAAGCCTTTAAAATATAATTACAAATTATTACCATAATAGACATATAGAAATACTTCTTGGATATAGCTATAACTCAGTCTGTTAGAGCTTTCCCGGTTTTCCACAAAATGTCTCGTGTTGTTGGTTTTTTCGAATTAGAATCCAAATACAGTCTATACTCTGTATGAAATCATTAGTTCTTTAAATGTTCAACTAAAAAAGATACAATAAAGTGCCCCAAAATAAATCAAAGTATTTATTTCAAGACAATTTTTTAGTAGTTACAAATATTTACCTCCACTCTGGTAAATATTTGTTGGGGGTGAGTTTATTATTTAATTATAACATCATTACATTTTGTACTCAAATACACAGACACACATGAATCATGAAAAATACAAATCATATTACTTTTTTGTTAGTAGTGAACTTAAGACAAGGTAATTATTAGATTCCTTGCTTTTACATTAGAAACACAGTAAGGTGTGGTGGCACACACCTTCAATCCCAACACTTGAGAGGCATTAGTAGGGGAATCTATAAGAGTTTAAGGTAAGCATGGTCTGCATAGTGAGCTCCGTGTCAGTGAGAGCTATGTAGGGAGACACTGTCTGAAAACACATATACATATGTGCATATTCATGTGCATATGGGAAGATATGACACAGTAAGATGATCTTTTTATGGAGCTTGCAGGAAATAAATATTGATTAGCTAGTAATTAAAGATGTAACACTGCAGAGGTAAAGAATAAAAGAAGCATCTTGAAGAAACATGTAACTGTGACCTAGGAAATAGATAATATTTAGGAACACTGAATCATGGTTTTGTCACTCACTCTCTATAGACCTGGACAAATTATATACCTTTGTCTCCTTTTCTATAAATAGGATGCTGATAGTGTTGCCCCAAAGGGTTTTTGTCAAAGAAATTAATAAGCTGATATTTGCAAAGTAACCAGAAGAGAATTAACCAAGTGTCTTTTAAGAGAAAACAATGAAATCATGTGGCAGTGCCTCTGAGGTGGCGTGAGTGTGTGATGCTCATTGAAGTCCTGGTTCAATCCCTATCTTCAAAATCAGACTAAGTATAACTATCACAACATAGCCATCAAATTTCATTTATTGTTCTAGGTATTGAATATTATATGTAATCCAGGAATAATTTAAAATATATGAGTAGGTGTGTGTAGTTCATGGACACGTGCTACTCTTATTTTTTTTTAAATTGGTGTCTGTGAATTTCCTTGTACACAGGACAGTAGAACCAACATTCACTTATTTCAAAGAAAAAAAGAAAAAGAAAAATGAGTATCTTTCCTAAAACAAAGAAGTTCAAAACCATTCTTTGAAAGACAAGATTTAAGAAAAAAAAGCAGCAAATACCTCACAGTCAAGAAAAAAGTAAATGTTAGCATTGTCTATTGTATTGAAGGCAGTATTGGTGGATGACAGTGATAGACAACTGCTAACATGTGTACCACTCCTCTACACATACCCTAACCCATGATGTGGTGGTGAATGAGAATGCTTGCCATGGACTCTTATGTTTGAATACTTGGTCCCTACTTGATAGAACTACTTGGGAAGGATTAGGAGGTATGGCCTGGTTGGAGGAAGTGTGTCACTTGGGCTTTGAGATTTCAAAACACTCACACCATTCCTAGTGTTTTTCTCTCTGCTTCCAATGTGCAGACCAAGATGTGAGCTCTCTGTTGTTCCTGCCAGCAAATATTTGCTGTGCTATCATGGACTCTAACCCCCTGAAGCTGTAAGTCCAGAGTTAAGCTTTAGAATAAGTTGCCATGTTCATATATTTTATCACAGCAATAGAAAAGTAACTAAAACACAAGGCGATTCAGCTAACCTGCCTATCTGAGCCTCCTTGTGGTTTGATTTGACCTTAGCAATTTTGCAGATGGATTGACAACAGTATCTACTACTGTTTTGTCTTGAACAGAAGAGTTCTAAATGTCCATCTTTTCCCCAAACCATCTAGAACACAGGTATGACAACAAGAAGTTGCAGCCATACAGACTATTAGTTTGCCACAGACAATGCTGGAGCAGTCACTTAGAGTGAAATCTGATTCTAGAAGAACCACAGGGACAAAGCTGCTTCCTTTATACAACCGTTTCATTGACACTGTCACATGAAAGAAAGACTTTAGAAAGCACTGTGCAGTTGCAGCTCTTTGTTTTGGTGATACATTTAGTGTATATAGACATTATTTATGACTTTTAAAATAGAATTTTCAGTAGAATGATTGCAAAGAAAACAAAACTACCCTTGGTTAATGTAAAAGTAACTTTTATTCACCAGATATAATTGTCTGCTCAGAGACTTACTGCTGAAAAGCTCACATTTTAGAAGGTTGGCTAGTTACTTGTATGTGAACATAGAAGCTCCTGAAGTGAAGTCCTGATTACTCTCCACTAAAGTTAGGAAACATATAATTCCTTCAAAAAATAGAGAAGTCTATCTCCTCTGTGGTGATTTTAACTTATTTTTTTTTTTTTTACAATTGGAACATGATGCACTCATACATTATAAAATGTAGTCATCAAACTTTTGGATGCTGCTCTTCAATGGAGTCTGAGATAGAGTCAGTGGCTTATGACCGTATCAGGAAACTCAAACAATAGAATAAGAAAGGAAATTTCAAGCTCACAATAGACTAAGCACTCTTCCTATTAGATTTGAGTGTTGCTTAATACATGCAGCAAATGTGTGTACTTGTGAATTAGTTCTCAGTGAATGTTCATTTATTTCAGGGAGAACATAAGCAAAATTGTATATTCTCTCACAGGCTTGGTTTCTCCTATTCAAACTATTGTTTAGGTACCTATCCTTACATCTGGCTTACACTCTGTCCTTGTGAAGTTAGTGAGATGTTTGTAAAATTAAGGCCTCATATTTCAAGATTTTATAAGTAACCACAGTATTCACGTGCCTCTGCAGTCACCTTCCAGGACACATAAGATAGTAAGAAGCTCACCACCACCTTTCCCTACTTGTTTATTGCATGTTTTGATCTACCTGGGAATCTATCACTGAGCTGTCCCCAGACACGCTATGGGCTCCTTCTCAACAGGCCTAATGGTTGTATCACAGAATAGATTTTCCAACACAATAAATATATTTAATAGTAACAAACATTAAAAAATTAAACTAGGGTGCTTTAAAAATTAAACTTACTTAAAAATAGTAATAATAATCCCATAATAATAAGCCACAAGAAAAACTAGAAGAGGAGAGTCAACAAAAGATATGCTTGAAAATTTTAACTACTCCTAAAATGCTCTGTTTATTTCATCATAAGCAAAACTGCAGGTGAAAGTGCAACTGGAAAAGAAAAATGGGAAGGGGGACAGGGTAAATTATTTACAAGTTAGGTCATCCCAGGAATAGGCTACAGAATAAATTACCATCTAATTATAAGTGCTGGCATAAGCTGAAAAGTGGGAGGGACATAATAAAATGCAAACACTCGATTTGAAGATCATGCAAATTTGGAGAAATACACATTAGCATGGAATAGCCACAAAATGAAATACGCCATCAATTACAGTCACTAAATAACCCGAAACTATTGCGCAAAGAAGGACTTTCCTCCCTTTCTTTCCCAGGGAACTGGGGTTGTAAACTGGGGGAAACTGGCTTCAAGAATCTGAACTCATTTGTCCCACTACCTCCCATCAGACACACCTCATACTGGTAGCTCTGGGATAGAGTTCCCGCACCGCTAATATCCACAAGATGATCAGGAAAGTGTCCCTCAGGCACAGTACAGCCACCCAGAGAGGCTGCCCTGGCCCTCCTGCACAGCCTCACTCCCACGAACAGCATTACAGACAGGAGGAAGAGCGAAGACACAGACGCCAAAGCAATAACCAGGTACAGCGTGAGCACATCATCAACATCCTGCACAGAGTCCCGCGCCACCTCTGGCAGAGGCAGGTAGGGCTGAGAGAAGCCATCCACCACTAGCACGTGCAGAGTGACACTGGCAGAGCGAGGAGGATCGCCATTGTCCTTGACCAGCAGCACCAGCCTGTGCTTGGGCACATCGCGCTCACTCAGCAGCCTGGTGGTGCGCACCTCGCCATTGTGCGCCCACACGCTGAACAGCCCTGGCTCTGTGGCCCTGAGCAGCTGGAAGGACAGCCAGGCGTTCTGGCCAGAGTCGCGGTCCACTGCCACCACCTTGGTGACCAAGTAGCCTGGTTCCGCAGCTCTGGGTAGCAGCTCAGTGCAAGATGCCGAGGAGTTCTGCAGAGGGTAGAGCACGAAGGGCTCATTGTCATTGTCGTCCAGCACCACAACCCGCACCAGACCCTGGCTGCTGAGCGCGGGCGAGCCTCGGTCTGATGCACCCACGAGGAATTCGAAGGCCTGTATGGCCTCAAAGTCCAGAGCCCTAAGAAGGAACAGCTGCCCGTTGTCTGCGTTGATGGAGATTAGGGAGTCGAGGGCCAGCTGTGGGTCCTGAGCCGACAATAGCGAGTAGGTAATGTGGGCATTGGAGCCTGAGTCAGAGTCTGTGGCACTGATGGTCCCTATGTGTAGGGCGGGGCTGTTGTTCTCGTGGACAAACATGGTGTATGAGGTTTGGGTGAAGGCAGGGGCGTTGTCATTGATGTCGGACACCTGCACTGTTATGGTGTGCTGGGTTGTGAGCCTGGGTGTGCCCAGGTCCGTGACAGAGATAGTGATGTTGTATTCAGCTCTGCTCTCTCTGTCCAGTGCTCCTTCCGTTTCTAAGTGGTAGTAATTTTCAATAGAAGATTTTAGCACAAACGGGAGATCCTCTGGAATAGAACAAACCATCTTGCTGTTCTCTTCTGAGTCCTTGTCTCGAATACTGAAAACCATAACTAAACTCTCTGCAGTATTTTCTGGGATTGGACTGGTAAATGATGACACAATGATTTCAGGGAAATTGTCGTTTACATCCATCACCTGAATTCTTAGTGTAGATTTCCCAAAAAGTCCTCCCCGATCAGTAGCTTTAATGATTATTGAGTAGGATTCAATGGCTTCAAAGTCCAAATATCCTATTAAACTTATTTCTCCAGAATTTTTATTAATTGCAAATGTTTTTCGAATATCATCTGATGCATGAAAAAAGGCATACGATAGTTCACCATTAATTCCCGAGTCTAAATCCCTCGCTGATGCAGTAATAATCAGCGAGCCAAGCATGCTATTCTCTGGAATCGTCACTTCATAGAACATGTGGTCAAACTCGGGGGAGTTGTCATTAATATCTATGACTTCCACTCGAACCAAGGCAGTCCCAGACCTGGGTGGCGTTCCTGCATCCAAAGCAGTGAGGATGAGATTGAGCTCAGACTGCTCCTCGTAATCCAGCGCCTTGTCCAAAACTAACTCTGGGTATTTCCTGCCGTCGGGATTAACTCTCATTGTAATGTGGAAATGAGAGCTCTGGCTTATCGCATAGCTTTTAACAGTGTTGATTCCTACATCTAAATCGGTCGCACTTTCTAGTAAGAACACAGCACCAACAGGGCTGTTCTCTGGGATTTCTAAAACCATTTCCTTTTCCAAGAATACGGGGGAGTTGTCATTTACATCCATGACCTGAAGCTCAAATTGCAAAATCTTTAAGGGGCTTTTCAGTAACACCTGGAAATGGAGCACGCAGGGCTCAGTGGAGCCGCACAGCTCCTCACGGTCCAGCGGTTCGCTTAGGAGCAAATCTCCTGTATTTATGTTTAATTGCAAAGGCAGTTTGTTATCATTAGAGGCCACCTGAGCCCCTCGTGCAGACAGCTCACCCACCTCAAGCCCCAGTTCCTTTACCAAATTCCCTACCAAGGCCCCACTCAGCGTTTCCTCCACCACTGAAAGTCTCCCAGCCTCAGAGTGTGCTTGAGACATTCCTAGGAAAACAAAGAGAAGCAGGACTTGCCTTGTCTGCAGATAGTGTCCCCCTCGGTTCTCCATAGTTCCTTTCCAGATGGCTTCTGGCAGATCCACTTCTGCTCCCCACACTCTTCTGTAAAACGTGCCTCTTGGTTTGGCCACAGAATCCTCAGAATCCGAAGATAAATGGCTTCCACATAGCACCCTCATGGCTTGTTTTTCTTTCTAGTTTTCTGTGCACACTTGGGCTGTGTCTGCGGCATTTAATGTACATTTCCCCCCCTGTAACATTATCCTGCAGCGCCACCATGTGTCTTCACAGGTTTTCACAGTTTGATGAATGCTACGTATGTTTCATTCACATCAAATTTCTCTCAGATACAAATATTTATTATGTGGTTACTAGTATATTTTTTCATGTGTTCTTTATGGCTCATAATGATGTTAATGTTTGTTTTAAAGCACCTGGTAAGTATCTCGGAAGTATGACATTGTTAAGCTTAATACACTCCTTTACCACTTGGCCTTAGGTAGAAAGGGAAAGAGAAAGTGTCCACAGAACGTTTCAGAGGCTATCCTTGGATTATGAAACTGAATTATCCAGAAGATGGTGCACGTTAAGGAATATATTATATAAATTCATAGTTTAGTTCTAGTTTCTTACAAGTTACAACAATTCAGCAAATGGTGCACAATACAAATGTGCCATTTTGAGTAAAGGACACTTATGCTCCTAAAGCTGACCCCCCCTCAGGAAATATTCTGCCAACAACACACAGCAGTTCAGAGAGAAAAAAAGGATAGAAATTTGATTTCCTAAAGAAAGCAAAAATTTAATCTGTGAATGAAACCAATTAATGCCATGTTCCTATTAATGAAGAAATATATGGTTACTCGAATATAGCATTACAGGAATGGATAGCTTTTAGTGACAGAGCCTACTCTGTGCTTGCTTTACCTGACTAGTATCATCTCTGAAACTTGGAAAGGTTTTAGCCCTAGCTGGAGTTCACTGTTGCCACTGAAGGAGGAGACTGTTGGGAATAAATGGTAGGAACTCATCAATGATGTCCACTATTGAAAGCTTCAAAAGTACCTCAGGAATGAATGAAGTATTCCAGTTGAAAAATGTTAATTTGAGTGGAATTTTTAAAAATGTAAGTTCTATATATGGTTGAAAAAATAAACCAGCACAAAAGAGAAAAACCCAAAGGTAGGGGCCTGGATATATGCACAATTATCCTTTCACCTTTAAAATACCCATTAAGCTAATAGAAAAGTAACAATATTGAGAATTCACAAAATTAAAGTACACATGTATTTAATGATAGAAAGCAATGGGAAGAAACTCATTATGAAGTTCTAGGAAATGGCTAAAAATCCGTCACTGGAGAAAGGGCAATTAACATGTTTGTCTAACAGAATAGCATTCACATTCCAGATTCAGAGAAATGTGAAGATTAAAGTTAATCCTGAGATGAACAACTTATTAATCAAAACTGTCTTCACGGTAATGTTAAATTCTCTGTTATCAGTGTCTACAGAGGCAGAAAAGTCACTCGTGGTAGAGAGTGGATACTTGACTCGAAGAGATTAGCAAACTTTCTCTAGTCTTCGACACTTGAGTCATCTGAACAAAAGTAGAACTTTAGATTTTTAGATTTATGTTTTTGAATAGTGAAACTTCAAACCTCTTCTCAAGCAACATTCTCAGACTGTAGAACAAGGTGTGTTGTTGACACATAATCTCACACATTCATTATTCCAGAATGCTAACCTGAAAAGTGTGAAAGCTCAAATAAATTCTTATACTTACTGATGTGGCTCTGCCTAGAAAATACCTCTGCCTTAGCATGGTAACATTAGAATGGAGTCTTGCCATCCATGCCTGTTCAATCACAGAGGGTTGATACATAGTGTTTTAAATACAGAATTCTTCTTTAGGAGGGCACAGCCAAGGACTACATGATATTTGAGAGGATATCTAGAACATGAAGTAGAAAGGTCCAAACCAATGTCTGTGGCCATAAAGATAATTAGTGAGTAAAACACTTTCTGTGCAAACCTGGATCTGAGTTTGATTACTAGTATCCATGTAAAAATCAGATGCAGTACTGCACATCTTTAGTCAAAACACAGACAGTAGACAAGAGAATCACCAACACACACACACACACACACACACACACACACACACACTCCAATACAACTAGAAAACAAAAAGAAACAAGAGGAAATGTCTGATCAATACTCTCAGAAAAATAAAATCTAAGAAACAAATGTTTACTTACATCTTCTATGATTCTTTTCGTTTCAAATATGTGTACCCATTTCATGTTAGTAACATTTGTATGGAGTATATGTTCTTATTATAAGAGAAATGGTGGGCTAGAGCTGTGACATATTGGGTTGCATATGTCTGTAGTTTCAATACACAAGAGGCAGAGGCAGAAAGATTGCAAATTGGAGGCTACCCTTACTATGTAGTTGAGACCCTGATTCAAAGTTGAAAAAGGCAACAAAACAGATTAGGAGACTTAAATGTCCCTTACAAACTGTATAATTTTGGTAAATTTCTTTAACTTCTGTGACTCACTCTTTATGTTTAAAATGATAGTATGATGCTAATAATACTGCACAGCATATCTTCATAATATAGTCTAAGGGGGTAAATTACAGATAGCAAAAAATTTATACTTCTAATGCATACTGTTAAAAAAATAACATAACCAAAAACTTCTAAAGGTATTTATCTACCCAACAGCAAGCTTACAAATAAAGACTGAATGATTAAATGAGCAGTGCAAGAAAGTAGAACAAGGAGCAAAGAGTGGAAATACAAAATGAAATGAGCTTAGGGTTTTATAGAACTCTTCCAGTCAGTTAGATATTTAATCAAGATTTTTAGAAAATACAAGTGAGAAAGTATAGCAAACTAAAATGAGTTTTTTTTTTCTGAATTGAGAATCTCAACATTGACAGGATATATCCTCATGAATGGGTCAACCAAGAAATTGTCACAGCTATTGTATTCTCAGACTATTGAGGGTAAGTTTTCCAAAGTTTCCAAAATGATTGGGAAAAAATTGAAGAAAAACAGATAGGCTGTTGAATGGAATTGTCCTTGTGAAAGGCAACTCTACAAAATTAAGAAAAGGAAAAGTTCTTTTTAACTTTGAGGGAGAAAATTTCAAATTATACTTTTATACCCAGTCAAACTATCAATCAAATGAATAGATTGCTTCACTATGTAAAGTATTAAAAGTTGTTTTATTTCTCCTAAGTACCTCTGCATCTATTTTAATGAAATTGTTTGCCAACCAAGTAAGAAAGTAAACTCAGAAATGGTACTGGGTCCTATAAAAAGTGGGCAGTATGGGAAAAGTATTAAAGCATGGCAGCCATAGGTAAACAGTCTAAAAGAAGACCTATGACTAAAAGCTCCCTATTAAATAAACACAATTAATTTATATCTTATATATTTGAATATTTGAAGGCAAGAAGTTAATTTTCAAGAGGAATATGATGTAAAAAAAATCAGTAGTGAGAATAGAAAGTTCAGCTCAAGGTAGCCCACTGCTTTGATAGATCACTTAACATGGAAAGAGAGAGGCAGAAAAATCACTAGCAGTAAATAGAAATAAATCCAAATCTAAAACAGCAACTATTAGCTCTGGGAAAAATGTTTCTAAGAAGGAAAATGTAATCATACTGCAATATTAAGTATGTATACATAGTATTCATTCCTATGTATGTATACATAGGAAACGTATAGAGGTGGACATTAATATTAGTTTTACTTCAGGATGGTACTCATCTGGGAGGCCTTGGGTTTGAGCCTAGAAACTCACAGAAACATAACTAATAACATTTTATGGTTATTCTACAAAAACCCCAGGATAAGGGAAATTAGTTTCTTTTGTATGATTGTCTAATAACGTGAAATAAGAACTGCAAAAGGTAGGTAACACATAAACATTGACTATAAAGAGAAAGCAGTTTAAACACAGCACCTAGAAGTAGATCAAATTTGAAGAACTACTATGTAGAAAGGGACTGGAGGTAAAAATTCATTTTCTTTGTAACCTTTACTTTATTTCGATGTTTAAATTTGACAATTTTAAAAGTTTCAACATAACATGAAAATTATCTTTCCAAGAGCCCACCAATATTGTCACATAAAGTTTAAATGTGCCCAAACTTATGTTGATTTTCATGCAGACTGCCACACTGTATTAGCATTATATGACACAATCTATTGTATGTCACCAAGATTAAACATAAAAACAAGCTCTTGCTGGATGGTGGTGACACACAAGTTTAATACCAGCATTCGGGCAGCAGAGGCAGGTGGATCTCTGTGACTTTGAGGTCAACCTGGTCTGGAGAACTAATTCTAGGACAGCCAGATCTACATAGAGAAACTCTGTTTTGAAAAAAAGAAAAGAAAAAAAGAGAAAGAACTACTAAGGAAGAAGGGAAATACGGGCAATGAAATAGCCATGTTAAGAAAACAGCATGGGATATTCGCTTGGAAAATGAAGGGAACCAGTGGGACAAGAGTTAGGAATGAATGAGTCCAAAGCCCGACATCATATTGGCAGAAGTCACTAATCAGCATGCTGGCACAAAAATGATCAGAACACTAAAACATAAACATGTCAAGGAACTTGTAAGGGAGGAAGGGAAGTAATAGGGGTTGCAAGGAGATTAATCAAGAGGTTATAATAAACAGAAGGCATGTCATAGATGCATGAAACTGCCAAAAACGGACTCAGTGTAAGTTAAAAGAATATACAGCTTTAAAAAGTGAGTATGCCTGGCTGGAAATAGAGCTCAATGATGGAGCATTTTCTTACCATGCAAAAGGCTTGTTAATTCTTAGCAACAGAAGAAAATAAGACAATAGTAACAAAATCCCAAACTTCAATTTCCTATAATAACAAATAAAACCAAATTACCACACACTATGAAAGAATCAAAACCTCAAATTTAAAGTGGCAATACTCTACTAGAAGGAAAAGAAAACATAAACAAACAAACAACCTAAGCATGAAACAACCACTAAAGTACTAAAGCAAAAACACTGTAAAAATCTAAATGTGACCCACCTGGAAGTTGAAAACAAAGTTAGTTTTGCTGCGTAGCAACTACTATGCAACTAAATTGATATTCATATGGCTGTATTATATATTAAATTGAATGAAACATTACTCAAAATTAAATTTAAAACTTCAAAATGTGGGATTTTCATCACTATTGCCCTGGGAATCATAAGCATGAACTTCAGGGTAAATCGGTTTCAAGAACTTGAAATCACTGGTACCAGAGGAGCCTCTCATTAGACACACCTCATATTGGTAACTCTGGGACAGTGTCCCTGTACCGCTGACGTCCACAAGGTGTCCAGGAAAGTGTCCCTCAGGCACAGAGCAGCCTCCCAGAGAGGCCGCCCTGGCCCTCCTGCACAGTCTCACCCCCACGAAGAGCAGCACAGACAAGAGGAAGAGAGAAGACACAGACGCCAAAGCAATAACCAGGTACAGCGTGAGCACATCCTCTTCCCCTTGAGTTGGGTTGCGCGCCACCTCTGGCAGAGGCAGGTAGGGCTGAGAGAAGCCATCCACCAGCAGCACGTGCAGTGTGACACTGGCAGAGCGCGGAGGATCGCCATTGTCCTTGACCAGCAGCACCAGCCTGTGCTTGGGCACATCTCGCTCGCTCAGCAGCCTGGTGGTGCGCACTTCGCCATTGTGCGTCCACACGCTGAACAGCCCAGGCTCTGTGGCCTTGAGCAGCTGGAATGACAGCCAGGCATTCTGGCCAGAGTCGCGATCCACTGCCACCACCTTGGTAACCAGGTAGCCAGGCTCCGCAGCCCTGGGCAGCAGCTCCGTGTAGGGTGCCGAAGCGTTCTGCAGAGGGTAGAGCACGAAGGGCTCATTGTCATTGTCATCCAGCACCACCACGCGCACCAGAGCCTGGCTGCTGAGCGTGGGCGAGCCTCGGTCTATTGCACCCACATGAAACTCGAAGGCCTGCAGGGTCTCATAGTCCAGAGCCCTGAGCGCGAACAACTGTCCATTGTCTGCGTTGATGGAGACCAGCGAGTCGAGGGCCAGCTGCGGGTCATGGGGTAGCAGCAGCGAGTAGGTGATGTGGGCATTGGAGCCTGAGTCTGAGTCTGTGGCGCTGATGGTGCCTATGTGCAGGGCGGGGCTGTTGTTCTCGTGGATGAACATGGTATAGGAGGTTTGGGTGAAGGTGGGGGTGTTGTCGTTGACGTCAGACACCTGTACTGTTATGGTGTGCTGGGTTGTGAGCCTGGGTGTGCCTAGGTCGGAGACAGTGATGGTGATGTTGTACTCAGCTCTGCTCTCTCTGTCCAGTGGTCCTTCTGTCATTAGGATGTAAAAATTGTCTACAGAGGGTTTTAGAAGGAAAGGCAGATTTTCTTGAATGTAGCAAACCATTTTTCCATTCTCTCCAGAGTCTCTGTCGTTAATCCTAAAAACTGCCAGTACGGTTTCAGGTGAGTTCTCAACAACTTCATTGACAAGTGATGACATGATCAATTCAGGGGGGTTGTCATTAATGTCTAAAACCCGAACTAGAACCGTGCATCTTGCCGAAAGGCCCCCTCCATCAACTGCCTGGACATTTAACTTATAGGACGTTATGAACTCATAGTCAAGCAAGGCCCTGAGCGAGATTTCCCCAGAGAAAGGATTGATTTGAAAGGTTGCTCGAATATCTTCAGAAGCATCAAAAAACGAATAGGATATTTCTGCATTGACTCCAGAGTCTACATCTTCTCCAGTGACTTTAATGACAATAAGGCCTACTGGACTGTTTTCTGGAGCCTGGATTTCATAAACTTCTTGGGGAAACTGTGGGGCATTATCATTGACGTCCATGACCAGAATACGTATAGTGGCTGTCCCAGACCTGGGTGGAGACCCGCCATCAAGTGCTGTGAGTGTTAAACTGAACTCCGGCTGCTCCTCCCAATCCAGAGCTTTGTCTAGCACAAGCTCTGGATATACCATCCCTTCATCGCTATCACGAATGGTAACGTGAAAAAAAGAGTTGGGGCTGATGGTGTAGTTTTGGATGCCATTCCGTCCGCCATCTGAGTCTTGTGCTCTTTCTAATCGAAATGTTGTCCCCACGGCTGTGTTTTCTGGTATTTTTAAAATCATCTTTTTGTCCTGGAATATGGGTGAGTGATCATTTATATCCAGAATTCTCAGCTCCGCCCGGTAAATCTGGAAGGGGTTATCCATTAAAATTTGGAAATACAGCATGCAGGGCTCTGTGGGGCCGCACAGCTTCTCCCGGTCCAGTTTCTCATTTGTGAGCAAATCTCCAGTGTGAGATTCCAGAAGCAAGTGCTGTTTGTTATCATCAGAAATCACCCTAGTTCTCTTTGCAACCAGCGCTTCCACCCCTAGCCCCAGATCCTTAGCTAGATTCGCCACAAATGATCCCCTTTCTGTTTCCTCAGTCACCGAATAGCGTCCAAACTCAGAACCTGCCAAACACAGTTCCCCGAACAGGAAGAGAAATAGCACTTGCCTTTGTCTGGGGAAGCCTGATCCTCTGGCTGCCATTGCTTCTTTTCTTACTGCAGGTCTCAGCCTCAGCTCCCAGCAGTCATATACCTCAGATGTTCCACCTAGCTGGAAGGATCTAGGTTATATTTTTTCTTCTTCAGTCGTGAGGAGCCTCAGCTTTCCCCCTTCATTGATCAGAATTTTGCTCTTTTTTTTTTTTTTGACTTCTAGCGCAGCCTCACTTTAATTTCCCTTGCATTTCTTTAGCCTGCAGCGCCACCATGTGGTACCAACAGATTAAAACTGACTGTGTCCAATTTTTGTGTCCACACATACATTCTTATGAAATATTTCCCGTAGCATGCTATTTTGGTTTCTCATTTCTCCTTTTGTTTGATTTTTGAAAATAATGTTGAGGTAGACATTCATTCATACTGGTTCTTCACAGCTTCATGGGGAAGTTAAAATTTTAACAGTTGAATAAAAGGCTTGTAGCAGTAACTTTGTTTCAATGCTGTATTGAACTCCAGGCTAATTCTATTTTGTTTCTGGCACCAGCTCACGCAAACAAATGAGAAAATGTGAGCATATCTTCTGATAACATATTTCATAGTTCTGGAAACAGGGGCACAGGAGCACAGGGGCTGTGCAAAAGAAATCTATTTCACACATTTCTTGGAAAACTTATTCCAACTCGATCACATTCCCCAAACAGAAGCGCCACTTTGAAGCCATTACCGAGAAATCATGATGCTCCTCTCTGTGCCCCGGTATGCGCATGACTGTGACTTCTGCACATGGCCTGTTCATTATGTAACTAGCATAGCTTCCAGCTTTATCAGAATCTACCTTTCCTTCTATATGTGACCAACTTGGACAGGAACTGTACCTTACCTCTGGTTGGAAAAGTCACTCCATCACTACTATTTATTAAACCAAATAATGCACAAATGAACTGTAAGGAGGACAAGAGACAGCCTGTGTCCTTCAGCATCTATCATCTGAAAATTGCACTATTTCATTTTCTTATACTTTGAAGTTTCCGTTGCTTTCCTTTCATTTATCTTTATTTTCTTAAAACAGCCTTTATCTACAGAGTTAAAGAAAAGCTTTACCTTTGTTTAAATGTCCCTCTTAATGAACTCTAATATGATCTATTTACTGTGCCTTAAATACAGACTAGAACAATGACAAACCAGTACACATCCTAACACTGCTGAAAGCAAGGGTATATCGATAAAATGTCTCCCTCATTTTTTTTAATTCAAAGACCTACAATGTTCTAATTTTCCCACTATAAGCAAGCGACATAGATTAAACCTTAGAATGTGTACAGGAAAAAGATAGATGCAGCTCAAATTCCCATCTCTGTTGCACAGAAAAATCACACCATCTACTTGATGATAAATATACATTGTTTATTCAAAAGAATAAACTGGATTGTAAGCCTTTGAAAACTCAACACATATCTCTAGGTTCTCATGTAAAATTAAAAGAAAAATTTAACTACTTCTATTTGATGCCTTAGAATGCCAAAACTGCCTCAATTCTCACAAATTTAGGCATATGTACAGAAACTCAATGGCTTATAATACTATTCTTATTTTCAGGTTGACTAGATACTTGTATTACATATAATGGAAATAGATTTTTAAATCAAGATATTAAACAAGGAAAAACAAAACAAAAAAATACTAGAACTTAAGACAACTATCATGTATAATAAAACCCGAAGGTGGCTAATCACCAAGACTGGCAGTATAGAAAGGAAATACAGAAATATCAACTATTATATATGTATGTAACATGCAGCACAGCATTTTAGTAATTCAAGAAGTCTAGGAACAGAACACTTACATAAAACATGGAGAGCAAATGAGGAAGAAAAACAAAGGGGTAGAATTTTTTTAGTGAATGCATTAACTGCAGATAAAACCTTTTTGTTTTCTCAGATCCTATGAAAAATTCTGTACGACAAATACGAATAAAACCAAACTTGTGGTATTAGACCTGGGCCTGAAAAAGAATGAGTACAGTGAAAATTAACATTGTTGCTAGTCACAGGTGAACAGACTTACCTAATCAACAAGACAATATTGGGAAGTACATATCTGTTAAGTAACTTTCTGTTAATGCTGAAATCCAAAACTATTCTGGAGTGTGGAATTTTCCTCCATTTCTTTCCCAGAGCACTGGTGGAGAGAGCTAGGGAGAATTGGCTTTAAGAAGTTAAACTCGCTGGTCCCAGAAGAATCTCCCATCAGACATACATCATACTGGTAGCTCTGGGACAGGGTTCCTGTACCTCTGACATCCACCACGTGGCCAGGAAAGTGGCCTTCAGGCACAGAATAGCCACTCAGTGAGGCTGCTCGGGCCCTCCTGCACAGCCTCACCCCGACGAACAGCAGCACAGACAAGAGGAAGAGAGAAGACACAGATGCCAAGGCAATGACCAGGTACAGTGTTAGAGCGTCATCTTCGTGCGCGGGATTGCGCGCTACCTCTGGCAGAGGCAGGTAGGGCTGAAAGAAGCCATCCACCAGCAGCACGTGCAGAGTGACACTGGCAGAGCGCGGGGGATCGCCATTGTCCTTGACCAACAGCAGTAACCTGTGCTTGGACACATCACGCTCGCTCAGCAGCCTGGTGGTGCGCACTTCACCATTGTGAGCCCACACGCTAAAAAGCCCAGGCTCCGTGGCCTTGAGCAGCTGGAATGACAGCCAGGCATTCTGACCAGAGTCGCGGTCCACAGCCACCACCTTGGTGACCAGGTATCCAGACTCCGCCGCCCTGGGCAGCAGCTCAGTGTAGGGTGCAGAGGCGTTCTGTAGCGGGTAGAGCACGAAGGGTGCATTGTCATTGTCATCCAGCACCACCACACGCACCAAAGCCTGGCTGCTGAGAGCGGGCGAGCCTTGGTCTGTGGCGCTCACATGGAACTCGAAAGCCTGCAGGGTCTCATAGTCCAGAGCCCTGAGCGCGAACAACTGCCCATTGTCTGCGTTGATGGAGACCAGCGAGTCGAGGGCCAGCTGCGGGTCCTGGGAAGGCAGCAGCGAGTAGGTGATGTGGGCATTGGAGCCTGAGTCTGAGTCTGTGGCACTGATGGTGCCTATGTGCAGGGCGGGGCTGTTGTTCTCGTGGACGAACATGGTGTAGGAGGTTTTAGTGAAGGCAGGAGCATTGTCATTGATGTCAGAGATCTGCACTGTTATGGTGTGCTGGGTTGTGAGCCTGGGTGTGCCCAGGTCCGTGGCTGTGATGGTGATGTTGAATTGCTCTCTTTCTTCCCTGTCAAGTGCTCTCTTGGTCAATAAAGTGTAGAAGTTCTTTCCTGATGATTTTAGAAGAAAGGGAACGTCTTCCTGGATGGAGGCAATCACTTTTCCGTTGTTCGTTGAGTCAGGATCTCTAACACTGAAAACTGCAACCACCTCATCCGGGGAGTTTTCTGGGACTGGGCTGGTAAGCGCAGATAGCATCACTTCTGGGGCATTGTCATTCACATCCACCACCTGCAGTAACAGCGTGCATTTTCCTGAGAGACCTCCTCCGTCTGTGGCCTTGATATCCACTTCATAAGAGGGAATAGTTTCAAAATCCACCTCTTTTCGTAGGCGAATCTCCCCGGTTACAGGGTTTACTTCTAACGTTTTGCTAATATCTTCTGAAGGCTGAGAGAGTGCATACAACACTTTTCCATAATCTCCGCTGTCTAAGTCATTGGCTGAGACTGTGAGTACCAGAGAGCCGGTGGGGCTGTTCTCGGGAATTTGCACTCGGTATGTTGGCTGCTGAAACTCGGGTGCATTATCGTTGGTGTCCACTACTTCAATGAGAACCTGTGCCGTTCCAGAACGAGGAGGAGAGCCACCATCCAAAGCTGTCAGAGTTAACCTCAGCTCAGGTTCCTCCTCTCGATCCAGTTCTTTCTCCAGCACCAGCTCTGGGTATTTCCTGCCATCACTGCGGTTGCGGGTTACAACCAGGAAATGAGCGTTTGAGCTGAGCCTATAGGTCTGGATATTGTTGATTTCTACGTCTGGGTCTAGAGCATTATTTAAAGGGAATGTATTTCCCAGAGCACTGTTTTCTGGTATTCTCAGTATCATTTCTCTTTCACTGAACACTGGAGAACAGTCATTTATGTCCATAACTCTCAGTTCAGCCTGAAATACCTCTAACGGGTTTTCCATTAACACTTGGAAGTGTAGAACACAAGGCTCAATGGGGCCACATAGCTCCTCTCGGTCCAGTTTCTCCTTTATGAGCAAATCTCCAGATTGAACGTTGAGCTGCAAATGCTCTTTGTTTTCCTGGGAAATGATCCGAGCCCTGCGGCTGGATATCTCTGCCAGCTCCACCCCCAGATCTTTCCCAAGATTTGCCACAAAGGAGCCCCTCTCTGTTTCTTCCTCTATGGAATATGGACCCAGTTCTGCCCCAGCCCCAGACACACTCAGCAAAACAAAGAAAGCCAGGACTTGCCTTTGTCTCAGATTGCACATCCATGCAGTCTCCATGGCTCTTTCCTCAGTGTTTGCTCCACGGTAGCTTCACATATGCCCAGGATCGTGACAGCACTGTCTCACAGTCCAGAACGTCGGAATCAAGCCTCCAAATAGAATATTTAAGGTTTCACACTCGCCTATGCGTTGGCTGAAAAAGGCACACCTTTTGCTTCTAGGTGGTGAGAAACTGGCCCTGACAAGGGAATTACAGAAGCAATTTCTATGCTCTGTCTTCTTAACCTGCAGCGCCACCGTGCGGTCTCATGGAGCCTTACAGTTTCAGATTTAAAGGCAAAATTCTCCAAGACCTGTGGACTAAACTATGTAACGTGAATCACTGGCTTCTTTTTCTTAGTTGCTTTCATGTATATGGACAAAACACTGAGACGACGTATTAAAACAAGTACAAAAATAAGTTATCACTCAGGGGGTTGAGTATGTAATGCTGCTGATGTGTCAATAACCAAACAAGATACTATACACAACATTTAACCTGAGAACACGCATTGAGGAGTAAAACTAGTTTGGATGCACATATATTCCACCATAGATAGTACAGAGTAACAAATGAGTAGATAATGAAAAACTTCAACTGGCGAATTCTGCACAATATAGACATGCTTTATTAAAATATGGATGGATTGTTTCTTCTCTTCATCATCCAAGGGGGAGAAGTGTAGGTTTTTCCAATGTTCAACTACAAGAAAATTATTTCGTAAATAGACATATGTGGACCTAGATTGATTCTTATATTTGGCATGAATAGTGTCTGTGCTTTGGGATATAACATATAGTTAAATATGTCCTTCCATTTAAAAGTATAAAATTTAGAGCCTTTTAATATATAAACAATGTGATTTGCTCATCATCAAGGTCAGTTTTGTAGCTTATATCTTTTTTTTTTGTTTGTTTTTTCGAGACAGGGTTTCTCTGTATAGCCCTGGCTGTCCTGGAACTCACTCGGTAGACCAGGTTGGCCTGGAACTCAGAAATCTGCCTGCCTCCCAAGTGCTGGGATTAAAGGCGTGCACCATCACCGCCCGGCTTTGTAGCTTATATCTTACACCAAAGAAGAAACTTGCATTTTTTTTAAATGATTAGTTTCTCCTTTTCCCTTTGCAGGGCCTAAAGGAATGATTAGTCTCCTTTTCTGGTCTCTACAGATCCTCTATTGCAAACTTAAATATGACCAGAGTGACAGAATATGTGGACTTCTGTGGTTAACTTTCTTCCTTCAGCCTGACGCTTTTATGGTTCATCCAAATTCTAGCATGCGTCAGTATTTCATTACTTTTTCTGGTTGATGCACACTCATGTTTATTTGGACATTTGGAATGTTTCTACCCCTTTGCTCTTCTGAATATTGTTTTACAAAGATTTATATACTTATTTTATGTGAACATATTTTTATTTCTATAGGAGTTGAATTGCTTACTGTATGATAGCTCTATGTTTGCCCACTTGAAAATCTGGCAGGCTGCCTTTAAAAAAATGGCTGCAGCATTTTATACTTCATCAGTTGTGTGTCAGGGTTTCAATATTATGTCACCCCCCCCCCAAATCTGAGTTTTTGGTTCCAGCCATCCAAGTAGGTTTGAGTGTCTTGCTGTGATGTTGATTTGTATCTCCCTGATGAGGGTTGTTGCACAGTTTTTCATGTGCGTATTAGCCATGGGTATATCTTCTTTGGAAAATAAATATCTATTCTGGTTTTTGCATATTTTTAATTGAATTGCTCATCTTTTAATACTTGAGTTGTGAGAGTTAGAAAAATAGATTTAGATTTTAAAACACTTTAAATTTTATATTGAATTTAGATTGAAATTGGATCATCTTTGTATTTTTGTTTGTTTGTTTGTTTGTTTGTTTATATAATTTGAATTGAGATGCAGTGAAAATCACAGTGGGCAGGCCAGGAGTTCTACGACAGACCACACATAGCATTCGGGAAGCTCGGATTTGAACTCCAGTACCACTCAGACGCTGATGCCCTTATCAATTCATAGTTTTTGGTAATGGCTCTACAAGTTTGTTAATTAGATTCCTTAAGTCAATGAGGCCTAAACTCTTGTTATAATAATCTTTATGAGGCTTCATTTGACAGTGGTGGTATTGCTAGGCAGAATAATAGACACTCAGATATGCATAGAATCTGTAATTATATCATCTAATCTGGCAAGAAAAACCATTGCAAACTTGATTAAGTTAAAGTTTCTCTGAATAGGAGATTGTTCTTCATTATCTAAATAAGACATTTATCAAATTTGGATAACGGACTTTTATTCAAAGAATATTTTCATACCGGGTCAGAGGACGTGGTCACAGGAACAATGTTACAAGCTGTGACGTTGCAGGCGCCATGTGCCACGTACTGTGGGCAGCATCAGATGGAAAAGACAAAATATGCTCTATAAAGTCTCCAGAACGCAATGTGCCCCACAGACTCCTGTCGTTAGTTCAATTAGACACTTATTGGCCTTTTTATTTACAAAACTATAGGCTAATACATTTTTATTGTTTTAAGCAACTTGTGAATTTTTGTGACAGCAATAGAGAAACAAAACAGGACATAAATATGGATTATTGTATTGAAACATGAAAAACTGATAGATTCTATATGAATAGTATTAATACTTTAAGTACTAAAGAATTTCCTCATTCAGTTCTGCTGAGTCATTCCTTTTTAAAAGTCATGTACGGCCCTCTGCTGTTTTATAGCATTATTTAAATGAAGGCATAAGTGGGCATTATTTTGCCAAAGCTATAAGGTTAACTGTAACAGAAAGTAATTTGAAACATCATTCGCTACAGAAATTCTCAGTTATTTAAATGTGAAAATTCATCCAGAACACTGCTTGTAGTTTTTGTAAAATTAGTTTTCAGCTAATCTGCTAGAAAGCAATCGCTTTCAGACACACACACACACACACACACACACTGCCGAAGTGAGCATAAGATATTTAACTTTAATAATGGGCTCACTGCATACAAAGTATATAATATGCTAGAATTTACAGACGATGAAGGAAGAGACAGATACAAAGTTCAATAAATGCAACCATAGAGTGATTCTGCTGCCCGTATAGGACAACTCGTTTCCACAATAATTCGTGTGACTCACTGAGTACACACAAGAATGTAACCAGGCTGATTTCTTCATCATGAAGAACAATTGTAGTACGATCCAATTTTACTTAGGTTGTTGATGTTTGTGAGCATTTTAGGTTGTTTTCTAAGCAGCGTGGTCACTGCTACAGAAAGAAATACAAACTATGAGCTACAGATTGCATTTACACAGGGTCACTTTATTCATGGAATGGGACAAATGGATTTCTCTCCATAGGAAAATAATGCTACCAGTGCATGCCTGCCAGTGTAGCATATCGCTAAGAGCAGGGTCATTAGAATCAGGAAACTCGGATTGTATCTCAGACTTTTCCTTTTATTGCCCAGAATCATGACCAGTTAGTCAATGTTTCCACAGAGCTCTCTGGGTAGCCTAGATAACTGAGCAATGAAGGTAGACATCAGCTTCTGACCTAAACGTACAGAGGCAGAAGGGCATCTGCAAGCACACATGCACCAACAGGCACACATACACATCACATACAAACACACAAATAGATTTCATAGCATAAGAACTGACCATAGCATAAAAGCTAACATAATGCTATAGGACTTCCTTTATTTCTGAATTTTTAAAAAAGGCTTGGAAATTGGCAATGTAAGGAATAATATGACAACTCTTGAGTTGCTAGGGACTGTCTCATTTAAGTTCATTCCTTGCTACTTTAACCCATCACTCCTATCACAGAGCCAACAGGGGTATTTGTGCACTCATCATACCGTGAACATCCCAGGAAGAACATAGCATGAACAAAGGGTGAAATCCCTTTCCAGGTGAGACATCTCCCTTTACAAGTGTTATTGAGCGTTTGCAGTGGTAGATCAGAGATACAGTCCTTACTTAGTATGCATAGGTCCCCCGAGTTTATCCTCAACTGAAGAGCTATGGAAGGTACCACATTTTACATCTCACGATAAGCTAGCCATATGCCCTGCTCTATTTGCCAAAAAGTGACAGTGAATATGTATTTTAGTTAAGTACACTACTGGCAAGAAAGAAATGTGGAATGACAGCAAAGAAGGAAAAAAGAATAAATATTGGCTGATGCAGTTTTTCTGACCGGCCAATATTTAAAAGAAAGAAAATCTCAATGTTACAGCCCTGCTCTTTCTAGATAAATAAGGGACAGCTTTCTGAAACCTCAACGTCCACCAAAAAAATAAGCAAACAAGCAAACAAAGTAGAAAGCAGTTTAGAATAGTGATATGAAAACTAATAGCAGGCTAATGAGAAGCCATGTGGCTATGTAAGGCTTTTAAGAGAAGACATCAACAAAGACAGTCCAATAGAGGCCAAATAAAACAAAAGGCATATCTCTCACTACGCCCCTATTTCTCCTGTCTGATTAGACCTCATTGTGTTTGAGCATTGCTATGTAGTGTGCATTCAGTGATTAACAACAAGTGAGAGAACACATACTGAATTACATCTGATTGGGTTGAACTGATTTCCCATTTTTTCCTCTTGTACATTCCCAAGCCATCCCAGAACAAAAAGATTTGTACAACTAGTGACAAATTAGAAAAACAAGATTAGAACACTCATCTTCCAGTCTGGAGAAAAGCTGAGATAATGTCCTAAAACCACGGACAGAATATCCTGAACACAAGCTTTAAGCATGCTTTAAAAGTTCGTAATGGGCACAGCAAGAAAAGTAGTTTGAGTTCATGACAAAACCCATGATGAAAAGCAGTTATTTTAACTGAATACCAAAATCCCAGTCGTTCCTAGAGTTGGGATTTTCTCCCATTTCTGGTCTAAGAGAATGGTCTTGAAAATTAGGTAAAATTGGTTTCAGAAATTTGAACTCACCAGTCCCAGAGTCTCCCGTCAGACACACCTCATATTGGTAGCTCTGGGACAGGGTCCCCGCGCCACTGACATCCACCAGGTGGCCAGGAAAATGGCCCTCAGGTACAGAGCAGCTACCTAGAGAGACCTCCCTGGCCTTTCTGCACAGCCTCACTCCTACAAACAGCAGGACAGACACTAGGAAGAGCAAAGACACAGAAGCCAAGGCAATGACCAGGTACAATGTGAGCTCACTGTCCTCATGCGCAGGATCCCGCGCCACCTCTGGCAGAGGCAGGTGGGGCTGCGAGAAGCCATCCACCACTAGCACGTGCAGAGTGACACTGGCAGAGCGCGGAGGATCGCCATTGTCCTTGACCAGCAGCACCAGCCTGTGCTTGGGCGCATCGCGCTCGCTCAGCAGCCTGGTGGTGCGCACCTCACCATTGTGCGCCCACACGCTGAACAGCCCAGGCTCCGTGGCCTTGAGCAGCTGGAATGACAGCCAGGCATTCTGGCCAGAGTCGCGGTCCACAGCCACCATCTTGGTGACCAGGTAGCCAGACTCTGCCACTCTGGGCAGCAGCTCCGTGTAGGGTGCCGAAGCGTTCTGCAGAGGGTAGAGCACGAAGGGCGCATTGTCATTGTCATCCAGCACCACCACCCGCACTAGTGCCTGGCTGCTGAGCGCCAGAGAGCCTCGGTCCGTGGCGCCCACGTGGAACTCGAAGGCCTGCAGGGTCTCATAGTCCATCGCTCTGAGCGCGAACAGCTGCCCATTGTCTGAGTTGATGGAGATTAGTGAGGTGAGGCCCAGCTGTGGGTCGTGGGGCGGTAGCAGCGAGTAGGTGATGTGGGCATTGGAGCCTGAGTCTGAGTCTGTGGCACTGATGGTCCCTATGTGCAGGGCGGGGCTGTTGTTCTCGCGGACGAACATGGTGTAGGAGGTTTGAGTGAAGGCAGGGGCGTTGTCGTTGACGTCAGAGACCTGCACTGTTAAGTTGATTTGTGTTTTCAGGATGGGATCCCCCATGTCTGCAACGGTGATGGTGATGTTGTATTCTGCTACAGTCTCTCTGTCCAGTGGTTTTTGTGATAATAGCGTATAAAAGTTTTCCCCAGAGGGCTTTAGGAAGAAGGGTAGATCGTCTTGAATGGAACAACTTATTTTCCCATTTTCTCCTGAATCTAGATCAGAAACACTAAAAACTGCCACCATAGTTTCTGGTAAGTTCTCAAGGATGGAGTTGGTAAATGCAGACAGGATAATTTCTGGAGCATGGTCATTCACATCCATAACTTGGGTCAGAATTGTGCATTTTCCAGAAAAGGTTCCAGCGTCTCTTGCCTCAATGTTGATTTCATAGAACTGAGTCTTTTCAAAATCAAGGTGTTCTTCCAATCGCACTTCCCCTGTCAAGGGATGGATTGAGAATGTTTTGCTAATATCATCTGAAACCTGGAAAAGTGAATAGGAGATCTCTCCATTGACACCAATGTCCTTATCTGTAGCAGAGACAGTGATGACCAGAAAGCCTATTGGACTATCCTCAGGGATCTGCACCCTGTAAAAAAGCTGCTCAAATTGAGGGGCATTATCGTTGAAGTCCAGGACTTCAATGTGGACTTCGGTGGTTCCAGACCTAGGTGGAGAGCCGCCATCCTGTGCTGTGAGGGTTAACCTGAGCTCAGCTTCCTCTTCTCTATCCAGTGCTCTGTCTAGTACCAGCTCAGGGTATTTCTTGCCATCGCTGCGTTTCCGAGTGAGTACTCGAAAATAGGAATTGGAACTGACCAGATAGCTGTCAATACCATTTTGTCCTACATCCATGTCCTGAGCATTCTTCAGAGGAAAGGTAGCTCCAGGAACACTGCTTTCTGATATCTTTAGCATGACTTCTTTGTCCAGGAATTCTGGAGAATGGTCATTTATGTCTGTGACTTCTAGCTCAGCTTGAAAAATATCCAAAGGATTGTCTAGCAACACTTGGAAGCTTAGCAGGCATGGCTCTGTGTGCCCACACAGTTCTTCCCGGTCCACTTTCTCATTTAACAGCAAATCCCCTCTCTCCTGATCCAGCTGCAAATGTAGTTTGTTACCTGTAGAAATGACCTTAGCTCCTCTCCTGGAGAGTTCCAGCTGCCCAAGACCTAGATCTTTTACTAAATTGGTTACAAAGGACCTACCCTCCTTTTCCTCCACCACAGAATAGCGCCTCAGTTCCCCTGCAGTCGTTAGAGAGCAACCTAATAGGAGAAAGGAAAAAAGGACTTGCCTTTGTCTGCAAGTGAGCTTCCTGCTGGCCTCCATTGTTCTCGGCAGGACAGCGAACGGGAGGATGTTTCAGCAGAACTGTATCTCCCCTGGTGTCTGGTACTGTAGTTATCTCTCTAGATACCTGGGAATTCTTTCGGTCCTTTTCAGAGAGCTGAGACCTCCTTTCTGAAGCATCCAGGCTAGGTTTCTCTGGGCTTCCGGGCTTCTGCAGCTTTTTTTTTTCATCCTATTAATGGAACCACAACTGCCTTCTAGGTTTTACTTTCTTATCCTGCAGCGCCGCCTTGTGTTCTCACAGTGTCTTAACATTTTTGTGTGATAAAAATGGATGTTAAAATCTAAAGCTACTTTTATCCGGCAGTGGGCAAAATAAAAGTTTCACCACCTCTCTTATTGCTGCGCCTTCTTTGGCAGACAACTGCCTGAAGGTCACACAAGAGAAATGTCATTGCTGGGGAGTTTTTCAATAATGCTTACTGAGTTTGGGGCAAACGGTACACTTTAAATAACAGCCTGAAAGGAAAAATATGTGCAAGACATATATACATGTGTGCATGTATGTAATTATATACGTTTAGTGTGATGGACCACAGAAAGAGTAGCTGTGATTCTAGGGAAGATTATTGAACCCCTTTGCTTTGGATTCCTCATCCACAAATGAGATAATAGTACCTAGAGCCTATTGTTGTGAACTGGAGGGAGAGTAACCCAACAATATATGGAAATTTGATTTAGTGAACTTCCTCCTTTTTCTCCACATCTCCTCCTTTGGCTCCTGAGACAGGGTTTCCCTATGTAGCCTTGGCTATCAAGGAACTCTTTTGTAGACCAGGCTGCTTTCAAATTCAGAGATTCCCCCTGTATCTGCCTCCCAAGTACTGCGATTAAAGGTGTGCTTTGCCAAGCTCACCACTCAACATTTTAGACCTTAAGATTTAGTTAAGTGAGAGGTTTAATAGTAGTTGGGTAATAAACCCCCAGGGTGGGATGGTTGTCAGTTTATAAGGAAATAAGACTACAGGCTAAGAGGAGCGTTGCTGTTTCTGAATGCAGGAGGAGCCGATGAGCAACGTGAGTACGACACATGATATCTGGTAATAGAAAACAGCATAATATTGTTGCCAAGTCACCTGCCTGAAGATTGACACAACAAGGTATCTCCCACACGTCAAACAAGAAAAACAAAACAGAAACAGTCAGGAGATGCTCTGCTCTTCCAGTTAGTAATTGTGGATCTTACCAAGTCTCGATGAGCTTCTACTTACTCATTATTGAAATACACCTACTCCTTGACTCATTCTGAAATACAGAAGGAGATGGGCTGATGCCTGTAGTGGGATCACTTTGGAAGTCTAGGGCAGGAAGATCAAAATTCGAGGCCATCCTGGACACAAAGCGATCACGTCCCAAAACTGATGAAATTATGTATGATACACAGTAATTACTAAAGAAAATCTATATAATATAACCTCTCAAAATATAGGGTATACCTACATTTATATATAATTCCAGTAGACATAGAACATAATTATAAATGAAAAATTTAGACAATGGAAAAACAATTCAAACCATTTCTACTAAGATTTGTTGTTTGCAATTCAGCAAATATTAAAAAAAAAACAAAAAGAGAAATCGAATTAAATTCGAGATAGCACACAACACATGCATTTCATTCATTAAAGAAAAGGTTTTAAGGAATAAATAAAGGTATTGTTTTCTGTCCTAAATTAACTTCAAGATGTTAACATGAAATCATTCTTTACACAACAAGGGCATAGTTTAAACTAGGGCTGCATCCATGGGCAGAAGGGTTTAGTTTCTACTCTATTTCTCTCCCTGTGCTTTCGGTTAGGAAGTTAGGGGCAATTGGATTTAGGAACTTAAATTCACTGGTTATCCCTGATGCTCCAGTCAGACACACCTCATACTGGTAGTTCTGGGACAGGGTCCCTGCACTGCTGACATCCACCAGGTGTCCTGGAAAGTGTTCCTCAGGCACAAAGCAGACACCCTGAGGAGCCGCCCTGGCCCTCCTGCAGAGTCTCACTCCAACGAACACCAGCACAGACAAGAGGAAGAGAGAAGACACAGATGCCAAGGCAATGACCAGGTACAGTGTTAGGGCGTCCTCTTCGTGCGCCAGATTGCGCGCCACCTCAGGCAGAGGCAGGTAGGGCTGAGAGAAGCCATCCACCACTAGCACGTGCAGAGTGACACTGGCAGAGCGCGGAGGATCGCCATTGTCCTTGACCAGCAGCAGCAGCCTGTGCTTGGGCACATCGCGCTCGCTCAGCAGCCTGGTGGTGCGCACCTCGCCATTGTGTGCCCACACGCTGAACAGCCCTGGCTCTGTGGCCTTGAGCAACTGGAACGACAGCCAGGCATTCTGGCCAGAGTCGCGGTCCACAGCCACCACCTTGGTGACCAGATATCCAGGCTCCGCAGCCCTGGGCAGCAGCTCTGTGCAGGGCGCAGAAGAATTCTGCAGAGGATAGAGCACGAAGGGCGCATTGTCATTGTCATCCAGCACCACCACGCGCACCAGAGTCTGGCTGCTGAGCGCGGGCGAGCCTTGGTCTGTGGCGCTCACGCGGAACTCGAAGGCCTGCAGGGCCTCATAGTCCAGAGCCCTGAGCGCGAACAGCTGCCCATTGTCTGCGTTGATGGAGATGAGCGAGTCGAGGGACAGCTGTGGGTCCTGAACAGACAACAGCGAGTAGGTGATGAGAGCATTGGAGCCTGAGTCTGAGTCTGTGCCACTGATGGTGCCTATGTGCAGGGCGGGGCTGTTGTTTTCTCGGACGAACATGGTGTATGAGGTTTGGGTGAAGGCGGGAGCATTGTCGTTGACGTCAGAGACCTTCACTGTTATGTTGTGCTGGGTTGTGAGCCCGGGTGTGCCCAGGTCTGTGACCGATATGGTGATGTTGTACTCAGTGTTTGATTCTCTATCTAAAGGCTTCTCTGTGACCAGAGTATAGAAGTTTTCCACAGATGGCTTCAGGACGAAAGGGAGATCATGCGCAATGGAACACATGGTTTTCCCATTGTTCCCTGAATCTCTGTCTCTAATTCTAAAAACAGCAACAACAGTTTCTGGTGAATTTTCGGGAATTGGGCTATTAAGTGACGACAAGAGAAACTCAGGTGGGTTATCATTCACGTCCACTACCTCTACAACCACAGTACATTTCCCAGAAAGTCCACCACCATCTCTGGCCTGAATAGTTATCGAATAAGTTTGAATTGCTTCATAGTTGAGTTCGCGTTTGAGATAAAGTTCTCCAGATGTAGAATTGATTCGAAACGTTTGGAGAATTCTTTCGGTGGCATAAAAAAATGTGTAGGTTATTTGTCCGTAACTTCCTGTATCTAAGTCCCTGGCAGACACAGTGACAACCAAGGAGCCGACAGGGGTGTTTTCAGGTGACTGAACTTTGTAAAGTGACTGCACGAAATGAGGGGAGTTGTCGTTTATGTCCAACACCAAGATTTGCACCAAGGCTGTCCCAGATCTGGGTGGAGAGCCGCCATCTAAGGCTGTGAGGGTTAAAATCAATTCTGGTATCTCTTCCCGGTCCAGCATCTTATCCAATACCAGTTCAGGAACGATAATCCCTTCCCCTCCATCATGAACATTAATGTGGAAATAATCGTTGGGGCTGATGGTGTAGTTACTCAGGCTGTTCGTACCCACATCGGAATCCTGTGCCCTCTCCAAGAGAAATGTGGCCCCTGGTGTGGTACTTTCTGATATTTTCAAGTGTATTTCTTTGTCTAGAAATACTGGAGAATTATCATTTATGTCTTTGACATGTAGTTCAGCACGATAAATCTGAAATGGCCTTTCCAACAGCAACTGGAAAGTCAGCACACAGGGCTCTGTGGGGCCGCACAGTTCCTCTCGGTCCAGCTTCTCATTTAGAATTAATTCTCCAGTAAGCGGACTGAGCAGTAAAAACCGTGTGTTCTGGTCTGAAACAATTCTAGCTTCCCGGGCTGACAGTTCCCCCAGCCCCAACCCCAAATCCTTTGCTAGATTGGCTAAGAAGGCGCCTCTCTCAGTTTCTTCTGCCACAGAATACTGAAGCTGTTCGGCGCTAGCCCAAGACGCTCCCAGAAATACACAAAGAAACAGTACTTGCCTTTTCTGCACAGCTTGCTCCAGTCTGGCATCCATTCTTTCCAAGACTTTCAAAATAAAACCCCAAATTCCTTCCATTTAGACTCAAGCAGCTCCCTGGAATGCCTGCAGCTGCAATCCTTAGGAGTGACCTGGACACTAGCAATTCCTGTGGAAAGAGAGTGGTGCCTTCTCCCAGGGCTTGCTACCGCTAGCTATATCATTTCCTATAGCTTTGTCGGAAGTCTGGAATATCCTTTGTGCATCCCTCCCCTTTCCCTTGCCTCCCCTTTTCTCTTTTTAGCCTGCAGCGCCACCTTGTGTTTCGAGAGTGCTATTCTCTTTCTCAAGAATAGAACTACCAAAAACAGCGGATTAAAAGCACATACCACACCAGGGTTTATATTTAACTCGGACTCTCCACCAAAATTTAAGAAAATCTGAAAACCCCTTGTTTCAAAAGTTGATAGTAAAGTCTATACAAAAGAATCAAGCCTCCACCAAAAAGGCGAATGTTGTGTTATTTCTAAGCCACTTAGCAATAACAATACAGAACAACCAGGGTGTTTTTTTCCTTCAGATTCTTGTGAATTGGACAATTCTTCCACTTTCAAAGTCTTCACTCTTCTATATTTATGCTCCATACTTTTCATACTTCAACTGCCCTAAGTACTAGATATTTGTGTTAACGGCCAAGATCTCCAATACCCAGCAAATGCTCTAGTATTGCCAGTAGAAAGTAGGGCAGACTTGTGTTTGTGGAGGTGCTTCTTTATTGCATCTTTATGATGTTTTTCATCAACAGTGCTTTCTCTTTCACAATTTTTTAAACATTTGTTTAAATCATCCATGTGTTATTTAGCTTTTAAATTCTTGAGTCCTTAATATAAATTAAACTTAACCATGATTAATTGATTTTGATGCACAGGTAGATTAGCTATATCAACCTGCTTTTAGGTTTCCTTTTATGTTTATAATATTTAACTTAAATGGTTTGTGTAGTCAGTTGTCATCCTGACCTCATAAGATGGTGAGGAAGCTTTCCATCTTCTTTTACAGAACAGAACAGACGAAGATATATTGTTTCCTTCTAAATGCTTAATTGTAATTTTTCTTTTAAATTTCCCAAGTCCGTTGAGTTCATTAGTTGTAGATCCTTATCTTGTCCATTCTGTCCTGGGCTATAAGTCTGTTCAGAATTCTTTAAGAACCTTTTATTTAATTAAAGCCATTTTCTAGTTTTCACATTTGTTAGCATTATTTATTTATGTTTTCCTATTATTGTCAACAATGTCTCATATTCTACCTACCTTTTACTTGTGATGAGACTTGTAAGAACTCCAGGTTATTGAAAGTTTTAAAATTTGTGTTCTCCCCAAATAAAATCTAACCTTTATCTCAAAACAACAACAACCCATGAACACTAAAAGATACAAAATACAATGAGTCTAATGAGTCTGACTTTTCTTTTACCTTCTCTGTTTTTCAGTCACCATTTCTGCCACTGATTTTTAAAATGTATCATAGTCTCAGACATCAACTGAGTCCTTTGTAAGGTGGATTACATTTGAAATCTTTTATGTCTCGTTTCTCTTGCAATGTGTTAGGAAAATTGTTGTGTAATAGTTATGCTTCCTGGGCTTAGTTTCTTGACATTAATAATTGCCTTGGTTTTTCACTTTATCAATAATACTTATCCATATCTTCTCATGATTCCAGTTGTCTCCCAATACAATTCCACACATTACTGTGTCTTTCAAGATACTAGTTTCCCTTTCAGTGGCACGGTTGCTTTCTACAACAGTTGTCACATGACTGTCACATGGCTGTCATCTTGGAACTTCTCATTGTTGTCATCTATGGGATTCCCTGTTTCATATTCGAGTTAAATTTCCCAGTTATGGAATTTTTGTATCTTTCGGTTTTTCTATTAACTCATTGGCTTTAAGAAATAACACAGGTTCCTGTGACTGAAAAGATGATCCGGTGTCAAGGGACTCACTGATAAGTATTCTCCAAGATGCCAGTCCCTTAAGTCACAAAGATTCAGACTGGAGCCCTGTTGTTTGCTCTGTCCCAGACATGGTTGCCAATCCTGAAATCATCACACAGACATTCGTTTCCCATTTCCCGTATTTTGTATGTTCTCTTTTCTGGTTTTTTTTTTTTTTCTGTCTGGGTTGCTTTTTTCTTTTATAGGCATTATCCTATAGTTTCCAGAAGAGGATGTATAAGAGGTAAGTTTTGCTATGATCTTTGAAGATTTATTTTGAGTGCAGATATGGTGTTTGTATTTATATGCACAGGTGCATATGGGTGGATGATGTGTGTGTGCACGTGTGTGATTGATATCAGAATCTTCATTGGTTTTCTTTTTGATTTATTTTTCTTTCATACGTTACACCCAACCCCACCCCAGTTTCCCCTTTCTCCTCTCCTCCCACATCCCCTCTCCCCCAATTCCACTGCTTCTTTCTCTTCAGAAAAGGGCAGGACTCCAAGGGATATCAACCAAGCATAACATATCAAGTTATAATAAGATCAGGCACATCCCCCTGTATTAAGGTTGGATGAGGCAACCCAGTAGGAGGAAAAGGGTTCCAAAAGCAGGCAAAGGAGTCAGAGACAGCCCTTGCTCCCACTGTTAGTAGTAAACCCACACAAACACCAAGCTACACAACCACAAAATATAAGCAGAAGACCTAGGTTAGATCAATGCAAGCTCCATGATGGTTGATGGTTCAGTCTTTGTAAGTTCCTATGAGCCCTGCTTAGTCGATTTTGTGGGCCATTTTCTTGTGTCCACATTACTTTATAAAAATTTCTCTATTTTATGTGTATTTATATGTGCCTGAGTGTACGTATATGCAGGACCCCGTGAGGGTAATCATAAGAGGAAGGCAGACCCCCCTGGGACTGTAATTACAAGGTTTTCTGAGCCACTATGTAGATGCTGTGAACTAAGCCTGAGTCCTCTGCAAGAGCAGTTAGTCCTCTTAACTGCTGAGCCAATCTCTTCAGCCACTCCCCCTAATTATTTTGAGACAGGGTTTACCAGTTAGAGGTTTACTTCTTGTTGCTTTGGTGAGAACTCAGGTCCTCCTGCTTGCCCAGCAGACATTTTACGGGTGCAGCCATCTCCCCAGTCTCTTTGTTGCAATCTTTTTTGTTTGTTGTTTAGAGACAAGGACTCACTGTTTAGCCCAGGCTGGCCTTGAACTCACAGAGAACCACCTGTCTCTGCCTCCGGAGAGTGCTAGGATTAAAGACATGTACCACTGTGTCTGACCACTCTTGTTGTGATCTTAACTGTATTAAAATATCTTTATTCTACCAACAAACTTGACTGGAACTGTGACTATAATTTTTTTAGGTTGAAAATAATTTTCCTTCAGAATTAAGTTTTGTCAATGAGCTACTTGAACTGCTGAAGTTTCCATGAAATCTGAACCTAATCATTTTCTCATTATCAATATGACATATATTTTACTTATTGTTGTAGGATTTTATCATTATTTCAAGCACTTAGAAATTAAGCAATCTTGCATTCTTGGCCCGAGTTTATATTTCATCCATTGTACCAGATCATTGATGGGCCACTTAACCTAGGAGGCCAGATTCCTTCAGATTGTACAGTTTCAATTATCCCACTGAGTCCTCTCTTTCATTGGTTCCTCCCTTCCCTCTTTTGCAGAGTTCTTTTAATTCCATTGTTGCACTTCAGTATGGCTCCTCTCATTTCCCTACCTTATTTTTCTTATTGCCAATTAAAAGTATTTTTCAATATTTCCTGAGGCATATTTTTGGTTTTCTTGAAAAATGGTCTCACTATGTAGTCCTGTCTGGCCTAGAACTCCCTACGTAGACCAGGACTGACCTTGAATTCCAGAGATACACCAGCATCAGCTTCTTAAGTGCTGGGACTAAAGGTCTATGCCAGCATACCTGGCTTTTTAAAAGTATCTTCTTAACTTTACTATTAAGCTCCTCTATTGAATTTTCACTTATTGGGTTCATATTTTCTAAGAGCTCTTCTATTCTTATTGGTTAGACACAATGACTTCCTCCCCTCTGATAATAATAAAAGATTTCACTCCAAAATGTTTCTCTTTGCAAATGGTCTAGCTTTTTCTGAGTCTCTTTGCATCAGTTTATCTTGATTTTTCTTCTTCTTTTTTCTCAATTTGAAATTTTTATTTTTTCCCAGTGCAAGGGTTTGATTTCAGGGCTTCATCCATGTTTGCGACATTGAGATATATTCCCAGCCCAAGTGATTTTCTTAAATCAACTTTAAAGACTAAAGAGCAGAGTGATAATCCTGAGATGACTCAGTGATTAAGAATACTTGCTGCTTTTTCAGAGGACTGGGCTTTTATTTCTCAGCACACACTTTTAGAAAGTTGACTGAAGAATTTTATACCCAGCTAAACCACACTTCTCAGTCATGTGAGAACTCAAGAAACAGTTCACCTTGAAGGTCTACTTCTGTTGAAATGAAGCAAGAAGTAAAATAATGTGGATGGTTCTAGCATGAGGAAGCTGGGAATTTATTTCAATTTGATTTTTTCAGTTCATCTTGATTTTCTTCTTAATTCTTGTTTAAATAACAGTGTGTGTGAAAATAAATGGACTTGTAATGATAAAAAGAATGATTTGTAATATGAACTTGTAATAATAAAAAGAGTAGACTTTAGAGAAAACCATTAAATTTTTGGAATGTTCAAAGAATACAGACAAGTGGTAACTGACAAATTTCATTATTTTCAGCTCTCTTAAGAAGGATATTAAGAGTAGGAAAATCATAGAACACTATAGAGAAATTAGCAATTTATGTTTAAAGCCTAAAACTAGAAAATGGTGTTATAAAATATAGACCTCAAATGTAAGGGTGAAAATTAAGAAGCTTTTAGGGAAAAACAGTATAATCTTCATGGTTTTCATTAGGCAGTGATTTCTAAGATATGAAACTTAAAGTACAAACCACCAAAGAAAAATTAGATTATTGGGTTTACCACAATAATTTTTTTCTTCAAAGGACATTATCAACAAAGTAAAATGATAACAAATGAAATGAGAGAATTAATTGCTCATAGCATGTTCATAAATTATCTGATAAGGCTCTAGTTTGGGCTCTATAATATTATTACAATTCAACAAATAGGAATGTGTTTATACAATATACTCAAATAGCCAATAAACACATGGAAACACGCTCAACACTAGTAGTCATTTTGGAACTGCAGGTCAAACCACAATAAGATGTTGCTTCATGGGCTGGAGAGATGGCTCAGTGGTTAAGAGCACTGACTTCTCTTCCAGCGGTCCTGAGTTCAATTCCCAGCAACCACATGTTGGCTCACAACCATCTGCAATGATGTCTGATGACCTCTTCTGGTGTGTCTGAGGAGAGCAATGGTGTATTCATAGACATGAAATAAATAAAAAATGTTTAAAGAAAGATGTTGCTTCGCATAGAATGACAACAATAAAAAAGAAAACAGGATATGGAAAAATTGATTTCTCTATACATTGTTGTTAGGAATGTAAAATGGCATTCTCTTTGAAAAATAATTGACGACAATTCAAAAGATATAGTCTTTGTAACTCAGTAATTCTAATCATAGGCATATGCCAAGAGAATTGAAAGCATATGGTGCAAATGAAAATTTATGGCATCATTATTTATGATATGCAAAGTTTCATGTATCTAATGAGAAAAGTATAGTTCATTCATGCAATAGAATATGAGTCATAAAAGTGAATAAAGTACTGATATATCTTATAACATGATGGACCTTGAAAATGCTATGTTAAGTGAAAGAATCCAGACACACAATGCTACATACACGATTTCATGTACATGAAATATACAGAATAAAAAAACAATTAAAAGTGATAGAAAACTAACTAGTAGTTTACCATGGACTTGAGTAGTGTGTGTGTGTGTGTGTGTGTGGTGTGTGTGTGTGTGTGGTGTTAATGGACACCAAGTTCATTTTAGGGATGATGGAAACATTCACAATTTTGATCATAAATATATATACATGTACATATATACATATATTCACTAGAAAATAATCACATATTAATTAAATCTCACAAAATTTTTAAATCTTAAAGCTTGCAAGAAAAAGGAACATTCATAGAACACGAAGGAGCTGCTTGAAAGCAAAAGTATGACATCAGAGACTGAGATCTTAATCAGTAAAACAGAGAAGTAAAAAGTAGATGGAGAAGATCTTCTATATTCTGGTAAAAATCAAAAGAAAATATAGTAATTAGAACAAAAGCAAGAAAAACTAAGATTTGTGCTGACAGAAGCATAGAGTCTCAGGGCTTGGTGGGCTGAGATGAGTCAATGTCACCCTGGTCAATAAAGTGAGTTCAGAACACCCTAGGGAACACAATGAGATCACATCTTAAAAAGAAAGAAATAGAAAAATTTAAACACTAAGCAACCTACCTTGAGCAATCAATTTATCCAATAATAAAATCAAAGAAAAAAAGACAAATGAAAATGACCATGCACCACACTGAGACCAATGAGATACAGGAAAGGAAGTACAAAGAGGGAAGTCTGTAGACATCGGTGCTGCCATTAAAGAAAGCAAGCTCCGAAATAAACACTCTGCCCCTGCATTTCAGAGAACCAACAGAACAAGAATAAGCCAAGTTCAAAGTTAAGAGACAAAAATAACTAGTAGGGCAGAAACAGTCAAGTAAGACGCTGAATAATCCAGAAAAGAGAAACGCAACCAAGAGCCTGTTCTTAAAAAAGAAAAAAAGAAAAAAAACTAACAAGCACTATGATAGACTAAAAATTTAAAAAAAATCAGAGATGAAAAGGGAGACATTACAACCAACACCACAAAACCACAAAGGATAGTGAAATAATATGATGAACAGGCAACTGGCAACTAATTTTATAATGTAGACACATTCTTGAAAAAACTTACAGGCCAATAACAAGAGTCAGCTATTTAAAACTTCAAAGACAAAACAGCTACTGAATTTCACCAACTATTTAAATTATAATTTAATTTATGTTGCTATTAGTTTTCTGCGTGTGGGTAGGTACAGATGGACACCAAAAGAGGCCACTAGAGCTCCCTGAAGCTAGAATTAGATAATCTGTTTGTGAGCCACCAGACATTGGCGCTGAGAACTAAACTGGGGTCCTCAGAAGAATATTTCCTCTTAAGCACAAAGTCATCTTTCCAGCCCTTGATAAGTTTAATTAGATGTTTTAAGTTTATTACAATTCACTGTTTGAGAACTGATCTCATTTGTTAATTAAAATCGTATTTACTTTCACTTGAAGAACTTACTTATTTTTTCTACTTGGTTCTGAGCGTTGGATCCAGGGCATCATGAATGCTGAACACATGTTTTTCCATTGAATTACACCTCAAGCTCCAGTAGATGTATTTTAGAATAATATTGACTTAATGAAAATTTCTTGTGAAAACATACTAATGTGTCTTTGTGTCTACTGTGTATGTATTAATCATGTGGCGTATACATCATGTTATGTGTCTTTGTGTCTACTGTGTATGTATTAATCATGTGGCGTATGCATCATGTTAGAAGAATGAGAATCACTATTTACATACCAAGCCATTTATGAAAAACTAGTCACAAGTGTATTAATAAGTTCACAATTTTTGATATAATGAACCGAGTTTTCCAGAATGTTAAAAGATAGTTTAATTAACTTTCATCTATTTTGATAGAAATACTTAATTTAGAAATATAATCCTGATTAAATAACTGTTCATTTGAAGAAAGAAAGTAGGGGTCTTGGAAACAGGCAACAGAACCATAGGATTTAGAAGCTCACAAAAAATGTTTGCATGATTAAAAATTATTTTTAAAATTGAAAGCCATCATTTACAACAGCGTTAAATTCATCCTAGCAATAGCGAGAACTTTTGAGACAGGAGTTCTTTGATTACAAGAAGTCAATCCACATGCTCAGAGACCAGGAGCCTGAAAATATCTCTTAACTTTTAAACATTTTTTTTAAGTGATGAAAACAAATCTCACCAAGAAAACACATTTTGCAGCTATATTGTGTGCCTCAGGGAAAGATGGTTAGCCAAACATGCAAGGAATATTCGACAGTTGATACAGCTACAAATACGACTGTCAGCATCATGCTAGTATAGACCTCTTTCCATGAACAAACGGTTGGGAAATTATATATGCATCAGTGAATATTCCTCACATGAGGCAAAATTTGATTTTTAGCTAAACCCCAAACAATCCCTAAAATTGGAGTTCTCTTCCGTGTTCCTGTAACCTCCTTCATTCAAGAAGTTGGGAAGTACTGGCTTAAGAAATTTAAACTCATTTGTTCCAGTACCTCCCGTCAGACACACCTCATATTGGTAGCTCTGGGACAGGGTCCCTGTACCGCTGACATCTACCAGGTGACCAGGAAAGTGGCCCTCAGGCACAGAGCAGCCACCCAGAGAAGCCTCCCTGGCCTTCCTGCATAGCCTCACCCCCACGAACATCAGCACAGACAAGAGGAAGAGAGAAGACACAGAGGCCAAGGTGATGACCAGGTAGAGTGTTAGTGAATCTTCTTCTTGTGCAGGGTCGTGCGCCTCCTCTGGCAGAGACAGGTAGGGCTGAGAGAAGCCATCCACCAGCAGCACGTGCAGAGTGACACTGGCAGAGCGCGGAGGATCGCCATTGTCCTTGACCAGCAGCACCAGCCTGTGCTTGGGCACATCGCGCTCGCTCAGCAGCCTGGTGGTGCGCACCTCACCATTGTGCGCCCACACGCTGAACAGCCCGGGCTCCGTAGCCTTGAGTAGCTGGAATGACAGCCAGGCATTCTGACCAGAGTCGCGATCCACGGCCACCACCTTGGTGACCAGATATCCAGGCTCCGCAGCCCTGGGCAGCAGCTCTGTGCAGGGCGCAGAGGCATTCTGCAGTGGGTAGAGCACGAAGGGTGCATTGTCATTGTCATCCAGCACCACCACCCGCACCAGAGCCTGGCTGCTGAGAGCCGGAGAGCCTCGGTCCGTGGCGCCCACGCGGAACTCGAAGGCCTGCAGGATCTCATAGTCCAGAGCCCTGAGCGCGAACAGCTGTCCATTGTCTGCGTTGATGGAGATGACCGAGTCAAGGGACAGCTGTGGATCTTGGGGCGGCAGCAGCGAGTAGGTGATGTGGGCATTGGAGCCTGAGTCTGAGTCTGTGGCATTGACGGTGCCTATGTGCAGGGCGGGGCTGTTGTTTTCTCGGACAAACATAGTGTATGAGGTTTGGGTGAAGGCAGGAGCATTGTCGTTGACGTCAGAGACCTGCACTGTTATGGTGTGCTGGGTTGTGAGCCTGGGTGTGCCCAGGTCCGTGACTGTGATGGTGATGTTGTAGTCAGCTCTGCTCTCTCTGTCCAGTGCCCTTTCAGTTACCAACGTGTAGAAGTTTTCTTCATTAGGTTTCAAGAGGAAGGGAAGATGGTCTTGGATGAAGCACACCATTTTTCCATTGTCTCCAGAGTCTGGATCTGAAATTCCAAAAATCGCGACTACAGTTTCAGGGGCGTTTTCTGGAATATCACTGATGAGTAATGACATAGTGATTTCAGGAGCGTTGTCATTTACATCCGTTACGTCTATTACTACTGTGCATTTTCCTGAAAGGCCTCCTCCATCAGAGGCCTCGATTTCCATGCGGTAAGACTGAATTTCCTCAAAGTCTAACAGTTTTCTTACTCTAATTTCTCCGGTGTCTCCATTTATTTCAAAAGCCCGAAGAACTTGATTTGAAGATTGAAAAAGGGAATAGGAGAGCTCTCCGTGTGTCCCAGCATCTAAATCTCTTGCGGATACAGTGATGACAAGGGAGCCCACGGGGCTGTTCTCTTGAACCTGCACCTCATAGAGCCCTTGGGCAAATTCAGGGACATTGTCATTAATGTCCAGGACCACAATGACAACCTGAGTAGTCCCAGTTTTGGGAGGTGTCCCACTGTCCAGAGCAGTGAGTGTTAATCTAATCTGTGCCTGCTCCTCCCGGTCCAGTGCTTTGTCTAGCACCAGCTCTGGATATTTCCTGCCGTCGCTGTGATTGCGGGTGAGAAGGTGAAAATGGGCGTTGGTGCTGACTGTATAGTTCTGAACTGTGTTGCTACCTATGTCCAAATCTTGAGCTATTTTCAATGGAAACACGGCACCTGGATGGCTGCTTTCCACGATTTTAAGGAGAATCTCATCTTCCATGAATTCTGGGGCATGATCGTTTACATCTTCAAGCTGTATTTCCCCCTGAATAAATTGCACTGGACTTTTTAGTAACACCTGGAAATGTAGGATGCACGGGGTGGTGCTACCACATAACTCCTCTCGATCCAATTTTTCTTTCAGGAGCAAATTTCCAGTCTTCTGCTCCAGCTGCAGGAGCTGTTTGTTCCCTTTGGAAAGAATCTGGGCACCCCTGATGACCAACTCCCTTAAACTCAGCCCTAAATCTTTTGCTAGGTTCCCCACCAAAGAGCCCCTGTCTGTCTCCTCTAGAACAGAATACTTAATGGTCGCACTGCCTGCCTCCCACAGTAGTAACAGAAAGATAATGGCGGTCACTTGCCTTTTCTGTGGTGCCTTGTGGAGTGATGTCTCCATCGTTCCTCTGCTCCAAAAGATGGCAGCAGTTAATCACCCAAGAATTGCTCTGTGAAGAGCTCAGGAATCTTGGCTATATAAATTTGAGCTTCTTTTCTTTTAAATGTTGCTGGACACGGCTTATCTGCTTCTCTGAAAGGATCGATCGGCAGAAATGTAAAAAGCTCCCTTTCTCAGCAGCCAGAAATGGCTCTGACTTTACAGTCACGAAGTGGCCAAGTTTTAGTTTTCTTAGCCTGCAGCGCCACCAAGCGTTCTGTTTTACAACTTCAGATAATTTTTGTTTCAAAGGCTAAAATGTGTGGCCCACCTTTCAGGTCAAAGTGTTCTGTTTGCTCCTTTTCTTTCCCCTAAGTCTCATAAGGCAGCTTTGAGGTAGCTAAGCTGTGTGAGAAGTCT